CCCTACGGGCAACCAGGTCATGCGTAACACGCGTAAACAGGCTATTTAGTTTTTTCAGGCCACTGCGTCCCTGCCTGCCTTCAGTCGTCTTGACTTACAATCGGAACAAGACGGGCGAGGAAGGGGAGTGTTGCGCCTACTCAATGGACGCCGTCGCTCGCGACAGTCGAACCGGGCTAAAACTGTGAGCTTTCCCGTCTGTGTTTGGTACACGGCAGACCAACGAGAGCAAGCTAGCCAGGACTGGGAGTCCAAGTACCTTTTTTAATTTGTTAATACTACTGATTAGTCAGTGGATGCCTTCTCAGCACGCGGTTTCATTGCCTTCTTTTTAGGTTCACAGTGTACTTGCAACTGCAGTCACCAGCCCTATTCGCCCGACTGTAGATGCAAACGGCCTCTCGGTGGTAGCAGCCGTGGATGGTGCCAATTTGCCTGCAGCAACCGTGCCCACCGGGGCGCCCCATACTCACAGTGGCCTGAACCTGCCTCCAGCCGTCTTGACATTGTCTTGCCACCGGGGCCAGATGGGCGAAGGAGGGAAGAGTGCGGTAGATGCTGCGCAAGTCTACCACACTAAAAACTAGTTCACTCGTAATTCACCGTCCAACGGTAGAAGCCATCGTATGCGAAAACGTCTCTCTCTCACTCTCTCCGGGTGTGGCCAAAGCATACAGTCTAGTGGTCGACAGTGTAAAAAAATGAAGGGGCGGCATCTGGGTCTATTGGGGGGTTTTGGAGTTAACTAAAAAAATTCCGAAAATGCCACATAAAGAAACCCAAATCCGAGCTTTATTACCACCGGTTTGCTGGAGGATGATGAGCCGAAGAAGTCTTCCACGCTGACTTCAACCTTTTTGGGCGCGGCTTTGCTGGACGGACTAGCCATGGCCGAGAAGAAGTGCTCCAGGGTCTTGACCGGCTTACTTTCCTTTGACTTCTTCTTCTCTTGAGCTATTCGCATGCTCTCCTCGAAGGTCAGCTGCACTTTGCCTCGAGGTGCATCCACCTCCGTGTCCACATCACCTGTAGGAGCAAAAAATGTCCCAAGCTGTGAACCCAACACAACAGCGGGGGCGGGAGGGGGGACAGAATCCCAGAATGGACTAAAAAGTACAACATAGAGTCGGTCACGTGTGATGACTGGCCCAGTTGCAGGTCAAATTGCATTCCTGCTGGTCACCCCATAGTTGTTGTTGTTGTTGTAAAAATCGTGGTCAAGTGTTGACTATGGACCAGGGGTGTTGTGGTACGCCTAGGTGCGGATTTTCGTCGCGCCAGTCACCTACGGCCTCACCCACCTCCGGACCCAAATGGGGGAACAGGAGAGAGTGCGACAGATGCTGCGCAAGGCTGCTACCACTAAATCACACGCAGGTCACCGTCCCTGCTCTCACCCTGCTGTGGAGCACACGGTGGGCACCGTCGAAACCGACGGTTGAACTGTCCGGTCACGTCACCCATGAAACGTGATGAACGAAATCTACATGATTGCTTCGCAGCACAAACCACAGTACCCGTCTTTTTGGGCGGTTGAGTGAGAACAGTCTAAAGCGTAGAGTATTCACCGAAACTTCAAGGACACCCTGGAATTCAACGGGCTCTATCGTCGTCAACGAAGACAGAAATTTTACGGGGAAAATCTATCTTAATACGCAGAAAAAATAGGCCTATCTGCTAATTATATTCCAATTTTTGGTCGATGACTGACCTCTCGAGATGCGACCTTATGAAAATCTTTGTTTTTGTGACACACCTATTAGCGCGACCGAGGAAAATCCTTTTTGCCCTGGTCAACCGCGCCCCAAATAAGATGACGAAACACCGTTTTAGGACAAATAATCTGACTTTAAGCACCTAACTGACTGGTATACCTCACATTAAACTAGTTCTACGAGGATATCTAGAAAAAAAGTGCGAAACAGGCTTTTCAGGCGTGGTTCTGCTCGTGCCGTTTTATCGACTCAATTTGCAATTTTGCAAATTAGTTTGACGCGAAGATTCACGCCCTCAGCACTTCCGATTTTATTGAAAAACTTGGTACTTCTAACCAACGCAACATTACCCTCAATATTCCTTTTGTGTTTTTATGCAAGTGGAGATCCTTTGTTGGTAATCGAGAGCATTTGTTGATGCCGAATTGGAGATTTATTGTTAAGCTACGTACCAACTATGCGCAACGTCATCTACTGTCTATGCGACACAGGAATAAACATGTAACGATAAAGTGGCTTCTTGAGACAAGCAGGCCCCAAATGGATAGCGAAAGTCAGGAACAGACAGCCATCTGAAAGGCCAGATCCCGCACATTACCGACAAAGACAAGGGACCGAGCTAAAGCTGTTTCACACTTCGGGGTTGAGTATGGCTGGCTGACGACGGCTAATAAGCCAGAAATGGGCATTCCAGTCTCCCTTGTCTTTGTCGGTAATACCATTCTGCCTGTACATCATGCGCCGCTGTGCGGCTGCTGGTTGGGCTCGAGAGAGAGCCCTTAAGGCACAACGGAACGAGTGAGTTCCGTATGAACGATCGGTGCGCGTCCCCCTACCATTGTATATTCCCGATCGAAAACCGACAGGGCAACGGGCTCGTGGCCCAGTGGGTAGAGGCGTGGACTTCTAAACCAGCAGGTCGCGAGTTCGAGGCTCGGGTGTTCCACACTTCGGGCTTGGGTATGGCTGGCTGACGACGGCTAATAAGCCGGAAATGGGCATTCCAGTCTCCCTTGTCTTTGTCGGTAATGCCGCTCTGCCTATATATCACGCGCCGCTGTGCGGCCGCTGGTTGGGTTGGATTGAGAGAGCCCTAAGGCACAACTGGACGAGTGAGTTCCGTGACACGACCGGTGAGCACCCTTCCATCATTGTATATTTCTGATCGAGACCGACAGGACAAGGAGCCCGTGGTTCAGTGGTTAGACGCGCACGACTTCTAAGTAACAGGTCGCGAGTTCGAGGCTCAGGTGTTCCACACGTCGGGGTTGGATATGGCTGGCTGACGACGGTTAATAAGTCAGAAATGGCCATTCCAGTCTCCCTTGTCTTTGTCGGCAATGCTACTCTGCCTGTGCGACTGCTGATTGGGCCTCGAGAGAGGGCCGCAAGGCACAACGGGGCGAGTGAGCTCCGTAAAAACGATCGGCGATTTCACGCATTTGAGGAGTGCGTGTCACTTAATGAGTAGTGCCTATCAGTCGCAGGCTGACTGCTTACCCAGCCCTTGAAATGTGAAGGGTCAGGCAAATGCAGGGCTGTATGTCACCCTTCTGGATGTCAGTAAATCATGGCCTGGTCTGCGCTGGCAGTTCGCCGATACTTGGTTCTCTGGGGGTGATGCGCTTGCGCTCTCGCTGGGTATACAGGTCGCGTGCATGGCTGCCCAGTCATCCACGTCCCTTCTGTTATTGTTGGCCAAAATCCTGGTCCAGTGTTTGTTGTGGACCAAGGGGTGTGGAGTGGAGCGCCAAGGTGTGAGTCCGGTCGTGCCATCCACCTGCGACCTCCTTGCCTCTGGTCTTCTTGACTCCGCCCTGACATCGGGTCCAGGTGGGGGGGAGGAGAGGGTGCGGTAGATGGTACGCAAGTCAACTCTCAATATAAACAAATTCACACGAAAGTCACTGTGCCTGCTTCACCTTGGTGGAAATCGTCAGATGCGACGGTCGAACTATCATAGTGCAGAAAGGGAGAACCTTTCGAAAAACTCGGTTCTTACTAACTGATGCGAAAAGGCGCTGCCGTTTGTATAACTGACAAAAAGCTATAGTCCCATCGCTCTTTCACGCCAAGTATTTAAGCGTAAGAGAATAGGCCGATATCTAGTTTTTTGACTCAAGCGTTTTGTATTTGTGCTGAAAAGTAGCCCTAGGAGAAAAGACCTACGCAAGAATTACATGGTTTAATGTTTTTATGTCAGAATATGCAAGTGGTTGATGGGAGATTCAGTGGGTGTTTGCTCTTAAAAACGAAAGAGATCAGTGTTGGAATATTTCTACATAGACGCATGACTGATCAACACCGATAGAAACAATTTTACGGCAGTGATTGGGAGCAACTCGACGTCATTGCTGTGAGTGGCGTGTGAGCGAATGAGCGTTAATGGAAAAAAAACTCGCATCGTAGGAATTAATTCAGGAGAAGCATAATTTCGATCAACCAGAAAATACGTACAGCTGCCTAAAATTTTAAACTCAGGCTTCATTTTATCATCAAAAAGAAGGCTGAAAATGGAAAGGAGTGGAGGCTCAGCGACTTGCCTTCTTCGAATATCGATCTGTGCTTCTCCTGTTTCTTCTTCCTCCTCGGATGATGGCTAGAAGAAGGTTCTTCATCATTTTGGTGTCTCTTAGCCTTCTCCCTGACGGGTGAATGTCTAGAATGTTCTTTTGATGCTGAGTGGGATTCTGAGTCTAATTGGTACTCTAGAAAGCGAAAGGTTGTCGGAATTTAGTCTAGACTGCAAACGTCAAAATACAAGCATTTCTGAGAGATCTACGTGAAAAGCACCGGTCAGTAGTGCACTTTCTCTTCTTCCAACCCAGAATGAAAAGGATGTCGTTTAAAAACTCGAAAATACGACGCAAGCATTGACCCTACGGTGACACCCGAGACGCGGAACAAAATTGGCGAAACCGAGGCAGAATAAGCCTCTTATTAGATGTTCGCACGAAATTAAAGATGCATTTGTCAGAAAAACGGCCGACTCGTGATAGATAGGTTCCGACTCCGACGGGAGAAAGCCTTAACCATCGTCAGCGCCTATGCCACTGCAATGACGAACAGTGAGGTTTGAGTCTGTGCCGAATTCCAGTAAACTTGCTGTTAAGGGAACTTAGATGAGCGAGTCTGTAGGAGGTAAAACCTGCGTGGGGATGATTGATCGTTGACTATTTTTATGGCAAAGAAGTCGTTAATAAAGTCCCAGGTATCACTTGTGACGCAGTTTTTTGTGGTCGAGCCAGGAAATATGCCCTCATCTGTACACAGGAGCATGGTTAATGGTGAGGAGGCGGAACCATCAATCGCAGGTAGCCATGCATAAATTGAACACAGCGAGAGAAAAGCATGAGAGGTAAATATTGAAAAGGGATCCATCCACATAGAAAATGGGTGCATTCCTTACTACAACAAACCCGATGCGTTCGGACTCATCACGACAGTTGTGGATTGGAAGGTTGCCAACCGAAGGGGCAACTCGGTCCTAATAAGGAAAGTGAGACGCAAGTCTACGTCGCCAAAAACAAATGCACGAACAAGTCGCTGCTGGGGTCTACTTATGGGACGGCGGTGAACCGCGACGGTCGAATTATCATAGAAAAGACACGTTTGAGGGATAGTAAACTGGCATCGTTAATGCCCACCCGACCAAGACAGGCCGCGAATTCCCGGAGGCAATGCGCACAGACGAGGTATGCATTAGGAGGCACAGGAATGGGAACAACATGCGAAAGTCTTAAAGATGAGTGACGACAGATACAAGCAATCCCCAGGGGGATCGAATGCAATGAACGCATATTGGTGGGAACTTGAGCTGGTCATGGTTAAAAGTTTAACTGTGTTTTTGCACTATTCATGTGCCTGACGACCAGCTGGAGAACCAGTCTTGATGTTTTTCGTAATTGACCATTTTTCGTTCCAAAAGAAACTGGCACATTTTCAACTACATTTTTCGCACGCCTGTTTCTCAAAAATACACATATACACACGATGCAAAGCGAGTACGAGATCTTGCCTTCTTCAAACACCGGCTGAGGCTTTTTACGTTTCTTATCCTTTCTCGGGCTTCTAGTTTGATGACCGGAAGCAGACTCGTCATTGTTCGGGTGTTTCTTGGCGTTGTCCTCCTCTATGTCTGGTAAATGCCTTGAATGTTTTCGCGGCGGTGGGATAGGTTTCGAGTCAAATTCATGCTCTAACAGAAAAGAGAAAAGACTAAGGAGTTTAAAGTGCCAAATTAAATTGTATTGCCGAAAGGTTACGGCAGATACCACCCCTAGAGGTGGGCGATACAGGCACGAGTCCAGTAATGAACAGTGTTCATCTTAACGGTTTATAAAAGACTTATTGCAAGCGTGCAGTAGAATCGGCGGAAGGTCGTCTTTAGCAGTTGAGGACTGCCCACCTCTCCTCCGTTTACACATTCAATATTGCGAAAACCGCTACTGCCATAAAACGGCTGGGCACGAGGCAGCATTGTGGACCGCATATTGCTGTGTTTGGCACCTTATGCTGATATGAACACCCTAGCAGAAGTGGTAAATTCCTTTCAGGCGTAAGGGAGATGGAAGACGACGAAAACTGAGCAAATGACGACAATGTCAACAACTGCCAAAATAGCACACGAGGAGAGGAAAGTGAAAACCACCACCTACGCCTCATCTGTTAGAGACAAAGACGTAAAACTGACATTTTACTTAGATGGGGCTAATGAATTAGTGCAACTGACTTCTCATTCAATAAAAATGTGGTACCGAACTGACCTGAGTCGGAGTCGCTGAAAATGACACATCGCTTCCTTTTCGACATGAGGAGAATGTGACTTGGAAGTCAATCTGACTGAATTCTTCGACTCAAGCTCTGGGAAGGGAAAAAATAAAGTCAAGGGATCTGCAAAACAGCATTAGAAGAGGCGTGTGTGACGCAGAAAGAAGTGGGAACTCCTGCTACGACGATGTCAGCTTAGAGCGTTTAAACGGAATTCCTGCATCTATCAATAACGACGACTGGTATTTTTTAAAAAGTCTACAAAAGAAACAATACTTCTTATGTGGGGCCTAGCATGGCTCACCACACCATATGGTAGCATGGGACATTCCATGCTACAACCGATCAAGAACATTTAGGGTCACTGCTGAAATGAGAACAAGATAAGATAACACAACACATGGTTGTCAAACGTGAAAGCAACTTGCCCTCATCTGACTATCCTTGCAGACAAATATCTAGTTGACTGATAGGGCAGTCTGCGCAGGGCACAAACGGCCGCTGAAGGCAGTCAAGGAAAACTGACTACTAGGCACTCGCCTACAGGCTGTCAATTGTCAGCATAGCCAAGACTAATCATAAGATGGTAATTTCGGCTGGTCTTCTGTGAGTGCAACGTTATCAGTGGACTAAGTTGGATCGTGAAGTCAAAAACGTTCTGATAATAAGTTCGGGTCAGTTGTTGTGAAAGTAGGAGAAACCGTAAAGTAAAGATCGACTGATGGGATTGCAAAAGTGAGAGATGATTTATACTAGATGGGCAAACATGCAAACAGAATGCAAAATAAAAATATATTAATTAAAGTCGGAGTGCCCGCCGATGAAAGCATACTTGTACAAAGACTAACACAAATAATGCGCCACCTAGGTAGATATGTCAAGGTCAACACGGCAGTGGTCAATACTGCACCACAAAAAAAGAAAGTACTCGTTTCAGTCTGGCGATTAAAACTCGTAAACCACTATAGATTTGCTGCTTATCAAAATGCAGTTATGGAGGTATCAACCACAACCAGAGCCCTCGGGTGCTCATCAGAAGATAATACGAAGTTTTCTCATCTCCAGAAATAGGAAAGAAACAGGTAGTATGCAAAAAGAGACGATAGGGCCAAAAAATGCAACAATTTCAAAGAAGACAGTTGGGTTCACAGGCGGGCGTCGATATAAGAAGAAAATTCAGTTTGTATGGAGTCGGTGAACTTCATCTTTTGGGGTTCTTGTGTGCATTTTACTTTTTTAAATAAGATGGCAACTATAATTTTACTGAATGCCAAGTAACAAGCACTATGAAGATGGATATATGCGGTTGATCGTGCATAGAGCAAAAAATTCAGAACCAGTAACGAACTTCAATTGAAATTTGGATAATAATAGTGTACTGAATCGTTGTGGTTGTTCAGGAGAGAAAAAATGGTATGAGAAAAGGACGACAATTCAGAGCAGGAGTAGTTTGCTCGAGTACGGAAGGATTTTGCGGACTTAGTCATTAAGTCAGTCCTCGTTAATTAGACCCATAGTATGCGGCAATGCCATCTGAACGGAATACCACTTCGAGATGCAGAAGCGCAGAGAGATCTCGGAGTCTGGGTTGCCGACAGCCAAAAGCCTTCTACACAATGTTGTAAGGAGGCCAAGGCCGGAACTTCAATGCTATGTGCCATCGAGCGGGCATTCTCTAAAGTCTTCGGCACGTTTGTAAGACCGCATCCCGAATATGCAATTGAGGCCTGGAGCTCGTGGACGCATCAGGATTGCAATCTGCTCGAAAGGGTGCAGAGGCGAGCAACGAAATTACTAAGAGGTCAAAGTGCGCTGCCATACGAGATCCGCTTAACTAACCTTAATCTCTATCCTCTGAGTTATAGGCAGTTGCGCGGAGACTTGATACAAACTTTCCGTATCGTGCGTGGCTTGGACTGCGGCCTTCGGTGCGATGACTTTTTCCAACTCGCCACTACAACTAACCTCCGTGGACATCCCATCAATCTACGTGTTCCCCAGGGTAGATTGGATGTGAGAAAATATTTCTTCTCCAACTGTGTCGTAGAACCGTGGAATAACTTGCCTGAGACCGTTGTCATGTCTCAATCTGTGACGACATTTAAATGTCGGCTTGACAGACATAAGCTGCAACAACAAGCGGACTATGTGACTTTTTAGCCACGAGACCAGTGAAATATGTGAATCAATGTCTGCATACATTTAATGTTGTAACTTCTTCACATTTTGCTTATTTATCGATTTTTTATGTACAAATAGGGAGTTCAAAGGCGTAAGCCTATTTCCCTCAAATACACTGACTGGCTGGCCAAAACTGTATTATTAAATAGATGCTGGACGGATATTTAACCTCTGCTCACCAGCATGAAGAAGACCAACTGGAAAGGATATGATTCTAGGACAGTTTTAATTAATAGTCTCCCTTTCAGTAAAGTCACATAGATCCGCGCTGTATTTTAGTCTTTGTGGAAAGATATATGTCCCCGGCAGACGACTTGTGTTCTTCTGTCCGCAAATTGTGATCCGTACCTGGAGGATACCAGGAGATACTTAAAGGCTTGTTTACGCTTCGATTTTCGATTTTTTGACTTTCGGCTATAATCGTCTCCTTTGTCTCTGAGCGACCGGCGTGATCTGATCGAACCTTTCCCTCTTTGAACCGCAAAGATCATGTTGGCGATACTTTGGACTGTGTATCAAGGAATAACTGTCACCGTAAGCGTAGCATTTGCCTCTGGCATACTTGAAGAAATTCATAAAAACACTTTCGCCACTAACCACATAAGTTTCGTTCGCAGCTGAAAATTACGTGCGGTTATTAAATGAAATATTTTAAAAGACATTGAACTAACTCCAAGAGAACTTTGTGCAAAATGGCGGGTTAACAAAACTTACGGTTGTTGTGAAGGATACTGTTTTTTTGACACTCTCCAAGATTATAGTCCGTTAGTTGCATTACAATTGCCATTACCGAACTAGTTGCAAACGCCGAAATGCATGCCTAATCGTTTTCAGAAACAGCTGGAGATTCCGACACAGCAAAGCTGATGACGAATACTGAGACCCTTCATAAGCGAAATATTACCATCTTTAGCAGGGTTGAAATTCAGTCTGGTCATGTCTGTGCCGACAAGGCCTTAGGTATTATTATTGCGGCTAAATTCACTGACCACAGTCGTTGTAGAGGGAAGCAAAAGAAAAGGATTAAATAACAAATATGCAACGTGTCGGCAGTCAAAATAACTTTAAGTCATGACGAGTGAAAAACTGACAGGGAGCATTAATTATGGAGGAAATACTGTCAATAGTAGGTCGAATATTTCAGCAACTTTAAAACCCACAGAAACAAACAGAGATGTGATTACAAAAGCGCTCCGGGAATTCGAGACAAATCTGCCATTAAATGAGACACAGAATTCGGGAGTACTCTACTGCTACCTCAGAAAAAATTCAAGCTGCAGACAATAAATGCCCTCGATAAAAGGCTACCGATGGTGTCGGTGTCTCTGGAATTGGGGATAAAGTTGAGTATTTGTTGCCGTTTTTCCGGTCGGTTTTCACAAATGAATAATCTTTCTTGTCCCTTTCGCAGAAAAGCTGCCGATCCCAAGCATGAGCAATACACTCTTTTATGAAGACCTTATCGGAAGGGAACGGGTGAGACCGAATGAGTCCAAGCCTCCAAGACCAGAAGAGATCCTACTCAAACTTCCATAGGACTTCGCGGTCAGCTTCCTCTACCACCGTCTATGATTGTTCGAACGCCATATAACACTGTAACCTTTCCTGTGGTTTGGAAGCTAGCGCATATAACTCCCCTATGCATGGGTGGTGGCCGGGAGTCTTCGACAAACTATCGGCCAATAAGTTTGACAAATATCCTTAACAGTGTTACGGAGAGGGGCCTGAGGAGACAAATGATGCAATCCCTAGAAGTCCACGATTTCCTATCCAAAATTCCGCTTGGGTTCCGTAATGGAAAATCCCGCACAAAAATGTGCTGAAATCTTCCCAGAGCTGGGCCCGAGCTCTCGGCGACATTCATGTGATTCTCATCGCTTCCATTGACTTCTAGAAGAACTTCGACATTGTGTCACACCAGAGGCTGTTATGCGTGCTGGAAAGAATAGGGGTCAAGGAAAACTTCCTCAAATGGATCGAAAGCCCTTTGCGGGCCGGCACAAGGTTGTGTGCGTCGGTCAAGAGAAATCGGATTCTGCTGTAGTCGAGAATCGCGCTCTTCAGCCTTCAGCACTGGGAACCACCTTGTTTCTAACAAACTTGGACGATTGCGCAAAATATTTAAACTGAAAAGCAACAATGTTTACTGTGAACATGAAAACATCGAGGGTAGTCCGGGGTCCTACCGACGGAAATAGACCGCAGGTCAACTTAACTCTGTTTTGAGGAGTGGTCAGGTCGTTGACTCGCACGATTCACCTCCGGCAAAAGTACGATACTTTGCCTAGGAAACCCAGCCAGATTCATAAGCATAAGAAACTGTTTTCTCGACGGTGCTACCTTACGGGATGTGGAAGTCCAAAAGGACTCCCGCATGTCGACGACGAACTCCCCAAAGCCACCTTCCTATTGCTCGAGGGTGGCAAAAAGCGCAGTGTCCGTACTGTGCACTATCAAGCGAGCATTTATGGATTCGGAGAGAAACGTCTTTTGCAAGATCTTTGGAACATTCGGGAGGCTGCATTTGGAATACAACCATACAAGCCCAGATAATTTTTGCGAATCAAGACCGGAACAGTCTCGAAAGAGTACAATGGAAAGTCATGGGAATAGCTAGGATTCAGAGCTTCCTTCTCTACGCATGGGATCTCTTACATGAAGTTCGCATTGTGACGCATAAGATTGTTGCCCAGTTTTTGAGGAATTTGCTGTCTCCGTCGACCTCCCAGGTCACCCACTGAAACTCCGCATTCAGCAGGCAAGACTGGATGTGGGGAAGTTCCCCTCGTCAGATTCATCAAGTCGTGAAATGCCTTCCTCATAGAGGTTGGGATCTCATCATTAATGGAAGGAAATTGATG